CAATTGAATGGATGGGAGAAAAATCAAATATGGGAGGAAAAAACCAAGAGGATAAGCAAAGAGTGGGACGTATATATGGAAGGTTAGACGAAAGAGAGATGAAATGGGAACCTTCGTTTTTTTAAGTAGTAGAGATATTGATACACTAAAATCTTACCAAATCTTTGTATGCAATCGCCATGATTTCTCTGCCATTTTATTGTTAAGCACTTATTTGGTAAGAATTTAATGACTTGCCAACAAAATATGTGTTTATTTTGGTAAGATAATAAACATGAGACAATTGAATGGATGGGAGAAAAATCAAAGTGGATAAGGAAAGACTGGGACGTATATATGAAAGGTTGGACGAAAGAGAGGTGAAATGGGAACCTTACGTCTTTTTAAGTAGAAGAGATAGAGATAGAGATTATGGTGCAAATACTTGTTCTATCAACATGCAAATCATGCTATGGACCATCATAAAAGATGTGCAAGTTCATTCTCCTATCCTATACATATTTTATAAATGTAGTCAAACAGTGGTTGTGGTTCGGTTTAGATGGCGACATAGAAGTGCAAAATGCGGTCAAAAGATGGGTTATCCATAACCCATTTTTGCCGCACAACACCACTTCTTCTCTCCTTGGTGCACATCGAGAAGAAGAGTAAGCGAGGTTCGAGTGACTTGGTACTCAACAGAGCGAGATTTATGAACTATGACCTCACAAACACCTCTTCTCACATGCTAATAACTTTTCACAGAATGCAATGCCAACCTTCCAAGCAATAGGTACAAATCAAAATGTCCCCTCTTTCTAAAATTATAAATTGTTTTCTCATTGCCTAAGTAATGGGATCTCCTATCAAGAAGGTATGGGTTGCCGTTGTGTTATAACAATGTCTAGTGAAGCAATGAATATTCATTATATGATAATCCCTGTGTAATTACTATGGAGTTCTGTCTAGTGAAGCAATGAATATTCATTATGTGATAATCCCCGTGTAATTATTGTGGAGTTTTGTTTCTCTGACAGTTTTCAACCCCCACTGAATATGTTTGTTGGAGTGTGCATTATCCTTGGCACTCGTAAGTAAAATGATATCTCAGGGTTCTAGTGTACATTGAAAATGATTAAAGGACTATCTATGCTTGTTAAGCACATGAACAAGTGTTGGTCCTAAAGGTTGAAAGAAAATTTAGATGAAGATCCCTTATAAAAAAGGGAGAACGAAGACATCATATTAAATTCATGCAGCTTTTTCTTATGCTTAAATCATACAAACGTCATACTATAGAGGGAGGGGGGGCGGTCACATAGTAATTTGAGGTGGAATTATATTGCCTATATTCAATCCTAATCAACATCGCAAGTTCCATAAAATGACTTGAGAAAGCGGAGATAAAAAATCTTCAAATATACACCTATGTGCTTTCTTTATGTGGCCCGGAGGTTCCGGGCTGAATCTCTTGGAGACCTAGAATCTGAACCAACCTCTAGGTGAGTCCAATAGCTCCCTGAGCTTGTGATCTCAATGGAAGGCCGACCAGAAGTCTCGTCCGGAATCCAAGCAGCCTCGAGGTTGCATCCAAAATCTTTGGATTGAACCTACAGGTTGTACAACCGACATCCCAACGACAAGGGGTATCTCTTACCCTCATTCGATCCAAGCTTCTTCTCCCTCATACTCCATTATTACATAGCTCAAAAGCTTAATTTTATCCACATGTCCCTTTGTTAAATCCATCCAAGCATTTGAAGGGAAAGAAAGAGGAGTCCTCGATCTACACTTCCACATATATGAATATAAATTTTCTGCATACATTAACATCTTTCAAATATGATAAAAATTCACATATCTAAACTTTTTTTAAATACTTAAAACGATTGTACACATGAATATAATGTTTGTATACATGAACCTTTTTAGATATGATGAACATTTTTTTCCATCTATATATTTTTTTAATCCAAAAAAATTCTGAAAGGTGTGTAAACATTTCTTAGCACATGATTTTTTTGCGTACATGAATATTTTTTAATACGTAATGAACAGTTCTATTTCATATATATGAACATTTATTATTACATATGTGACAGTTTGTTATTTCACAACACAATACCTACCATTTTCCAAACCTTTTTGACAACATTACTTAAAGCCGGTTGAGAAAAAATATCTCATTTTCCCCACAAATACATTATTTTTATATTATCCAATTCTCCTTTTACATTATTTTTCTAAAAACTGATAACTAAATAAAAGGACCGAAACCAGGCAGCAAGCGTTCGAAGCGTGTTTTTTTCTCTGAGATTTGAGTTTCTGTGTTGTATGCTCCGGTTTTGAATGCCTTGCTTTGGGTTTTCATATTTTTTCTATTTCTAATTTTTATTTTCATCATATGTGTTAACCTCTCACACCTTGGATCCATGAAAAAAAATACCTTGCGCCACTTGCTGTCACCTGAGACATTTCGCCGGCAAAAAAGAAATTCTTTTTACCCTGCAAAAGGAAAAAAAACGTTTGCAAGTGTACCCCTACCTAGTGATTACGAGACTTCTGTACTCTGTTATCAGTTTCAGCAATAAGATTTGGGGTGAGAACTCTTCTACGACCAACATGGAAGATGGAACCCAACAACACCGCGGCCAATCCAAACGGATGGCCTAACGAACGAGCAGTGCCAAGACTTATCCCCTCGCGGTTACCTTCCCGCCACAGGCTGCCGCGGCAACTCAACCCACACACACGCACACGCTGACACACAGGCAGCAGCGGCGGCGGCAGCGGAACCAAGCATGTGGTCGGGAGCGGCAGCCGCGGCGGCGCGCACCGTGTCCCCGCCGCTCCACGCGCCGACGTCCCTGATCGGGCGGCGCGGCGCGGGGCGGCCGTCGACGGTGTCGGTGCGCGCGGGCGGCGGCGGGCTGATGGACTTCGTGGGCGGGGACCTGGTGAAGCCGGACCTGGGGCGGTGGCTGGACGACGTGGAGGAGCACAAGGCGCTGGCCATCTACCCGCCGCACGAGGGCGGCTACGAGGGCCGCTACCTCAACCGCCTCCGCTACCAGGGCTACTACTTCCTCGACCTCTCCGCGCGCGGCCTCGGCGACCCCGAGTCCACCCTCACCAAGATCCACCCCGTCTGCCCGGTCCGTCAGCAGAGCCGACGATGATGCATTTCCCTTTCGCCGCCATTAATGTCGTCTGCTCTGCTTAGCTTAGCTGACTGGGGGGCGCTGCTTGCTTTGCTGCTGCAGCCTAGCCTCGGGAGGCAGCCGGTGGCGAGGTGGTACTTCCCGCCGGAGGTGGACTACAGGCTCAGCCTGCTGCACCCGGACGCCAAAGGGCTCATCGTCTGGGTCTACGAGGCCAAGGTCTCCCCCATTCTCTCGCCACTCTCACACGTTGCTCATCGGCTCTGCTGTTTCTCATCGTTGTCGCGTGTTCGTTCCGTCTGCAGGTTCTGTCCAAGGCCGAGCTGCAGTTCCTGGCCATGCTCCCCGACCTCCGCCCCAAAGTCAGGGTGATCGCGGAATGCGGCAACTGGTACATCAATCTCCACCTGAACTCTCACTGAATTTACCAGAATCTGTGAATAACTTTCGAGCCGATTTGATTGATGCAGGAGAAAATTCATCTGGAAACCGCTGAAGCAAATATCGGGCCTCGAGCCTGATCCGGACGCCGAGGAATGAGGAGCCACCCTCCGGCAGCTACCTCGTTCAATCTCTCGCCTTACGCTCTGTTTTCAGCTTTGTACTGAGGAGCACGAGAAAGGATGTACATAAGTCTACATTTTGCTCAGTTTCGCAAGAGAATCATCAATCGTGTAAAGCCTTTCAAATATACAGATCCAACAAATCAAATCATATATGCAAGCTCACACGCGTTCCGATACAGTCAGAGGCCTCAGCTTCTGGATTCAGGTCCACTGCACATGCACAGCACGGCACGGCACGGCACGGCCAAAATGTTCAGCGACGCAGGTACACGAGGTCGGTCCTGAGCAGGAAGGGGTAGCCGATCCCCCTCCTCTTGGAAGGGAACATGACGAACAGGAGGCTGACGACGAAGCCGACGACGAGGGGCACGGTGTTCACCACCTTCCTGGGCGCGCCGGGGTAGTAGCACCGGACGATGTCGTGGTGGGAGGCGGCGAAGGTCACGAAGGCCACCAGGGAGAGCGCGGTGTGGAACAGGTCCGACCACCGCAGCCTGTACCTCTCCGGCTCCCTCGGCGCCTTCCTCCGGCTCCCCCCGCCGGCGCAGAACGTCGCGATACCCGTCGGGGTGGCCACGCCGTAGCGGAGCCGGCCCGTGGCGGAGCGGAAGCTGTCGGTGAGCGTGAAGAAGACGCAGGAGGCGGCGCAGAGCAGCACGAACGCGCCGGTGAGCACGCGGTTGACGCGCGCGCACTTGCCGTCGTCGGTGACCAGCGGCGCGAAGATGGCGAAGGTCAGGATGGTGGCCGTCGGGAGGAGCACGTTGAGCCGGGCCGTGCCGCTCAGGACGAGGTTCATGACCAGGATGAAGCTCGAGGTGTCGTCAGCGTCGTCATCGTCGGCGTCTTGGTGCGGTTCACCGGCGTCTTTGCTGGTCTGATCGATGAGCACCTTGTATTCTTCTCCTTCTTGCTCAGCCATTGCCGGTGCGTGTGCAAGCGGGTTTGAGATTGTTGGGTTTGATGAGACGAGAAGGTTACGGGGTTAGTTAAAGGAGAGAGCTGAAATGAGCAAGCGCTGAAAAGAATCTGCCTGGCTTTGGACATGGAAGAAAGGATTGCTTTCGCAAGTGCAGCGAGGCAAACGGAACATTGCTATTACACAAGCAAAGAACATCACCACCAATGAGAAAATAGTGCGAAGATTCAACTGAAGTGAAAGAGGGAATGATTTTTTGAGTTCTTCAGATTCTTTCCCTATTTTCAAAGAATACAACAGTTACAGATGATAGCCGGTACAAGATGCATCCCCAATACTATACCATACCGGTTCCTCAAAAACAAAAATACATGGAAAACTTTTGATGTATAAGACATATATCCCCTGATACTCTACCGGTTCCTCAAAAACTACAAGGGGGAACGAGCCTTTTCCTGTTTATAGAGCCCTAAAGTACAATCTACAGACTGGATAGAATGAAAGAATGCGAACCATGGCCATAAGGATCACTGAGCATCTCAAGTTGGTCAAAATTATTCTGCTGCCCTTGGTGACCTCAGAGGGAGGCCTTCAGCAGCGGATCTAAGAGGAATTCCTTCAGGCGCATAGCCGTTTTCATCACCATGTTTCGGAATCCTGATAGGCAGAGTCGGTGGGAGACCTATAATGCCAGAAAGTTAGAAGTTACCAAATATAGTTACCATGTGCAAACCAGAAGAAGGGAGGAGTGGAACCATACCATCAACCATATCTTTAGTCTTATGAAGAAGAAATGTCCCGGAAAGGATTGTCACAAAACCACACATCTCTGTCACAATTTGAGTTGGATTTTGACGATCCCAGTCCTGCAAGCAAGTAGTATTAGTAGTACAATATCTGTGAGCATTGTCACTAACTCTACGATAAAACCGACGGTTTATCAAGTTTAACAGAAACATTTGTTGACTATAAACATACATTAGATAATTTACAGACTAGACGTCTGAACTCAAGATGGCATAGTAGTGACCATGGCACCGAGTGCTGACTAAAAGGCTTGAAACAAGAAGATGGATTATTGATTAAATGAACTTTACAAATGTTGTGTAGCCCCATGGACAATAGCCAAATCAACTGAAAAGATAATTACAAAGTTAAGCAGTCATTTCCAGATGACAAAGAATCGATAATTGGATTGTCCTAGACTTATAAAAACACTAATATGGCATAGATCATGATAGGTGAGCTCTTGGTTCCATGAGTTCAGTTTCAGATAATAAAAATGCTAATCCCAAAAATTCTCTCAAACGGAAAATTGGTAGGCAATTACATATTTGGGTAACATTGCTGCTCTTTACTCAGACCTCATTCAATAACTGTGTCCAACTTTGTTGAGACAAGATAGCTGCTAAAAGGCACTTCAGCAAGTAGCAATTCTAAAAGAAATTCACTGCATACTTAGTATAAGCAAGCACTACTTGATCTCATGTTAAACTTGCAATTAAACAAGTAGACTAAGCAGCACCATCTAGAGCACCATAAAAAAAACTACAAGCCCAAATATGTTACCTTGAACATTATGACGCTAGCCAGTATTGTTAGTGATGTAAACATAGTATAGTATATTGGTGAAACAACTGCCGTATTGAATGTGTCAAGAGCCTGCAAAAGCAAACATAGTAGGTTGAATAATGTACAAAACACCAAGCATAAGTTTGTAACAAGCAGAATCATGTACTCAGATACTAATATCAATAGCATGCCAGTGCCCATTATGGCAGATTAAAGATGTACTCCCTCTGCAACTTTTTATAAGATGTTTTTAGAGTCCATGACAATGTCATGGAAATGTCTTATATTAAGTTACAGAGGGAGTAATAATTTGCAGTACTAAAGTTATTTAGCAGATATTGAAGTACGATCACTAAGCAACGGAAGAACCATCGGCAAAGAAATTATTGTTACCTTGTTCAGATAGTTCATCTGTGTTAATATACATGCAACAACAATAATTGCGAACAACCATGTCTGTGGATAGATTAGCTGGTTTATCCCAGAAAAGGTCAGTTTCAAGGCTATACCAAGAGCTTTCACGCTCATGACCTGTCAAGTAAATAAAAATAATCAAAATTCGAGCATAATTAATCAATAGTATCACGTGAATAAACATTGAGCTACTTATTCGTAAGTAGAACGGAGACATACCGATAGAGATCCTACAAGTGAACAAACACCAATATAAACCATGATATGTGTCTGACCATACTGTGGGATATAACGGAATATGAGCACAAAAGTTGCAGCAAGCACGATTGTCGCATAAAATAAAAATGCTGCAAGAAAACACAAAAATATTGGTACTTTATAAGACAAATAGGCAAAGCATGGTTGCTAATCAGGGAAAGAAAGGAAAGTACCTGGTTCTGTAGCAAGATCCCACACTTCTGCGACAGACTCAATTTCACGCTCCTGGGGGGCATGAAGCACAATAGTTGTTGAACCCACGACACAAAGAACACATCCAAGTATACCAAATATATGTAGCTTCTCCTTTAACATAATGTCTGCAAGAACGGCGCTGTGCGAGAACTACGTTAGTTAGAATGACCACAGACTTTCACAATTGTCAGCACTCAGCAGCTGAACATCTCAAGATTTATCAGTAAGGACCTGACTTCTGGCTTTTACCTAATGATGATGCTAAGTGCACCAAGTGGAGTGACGAGTATAGCAGGAGCAAACGCATATGCTGCAAAGTTAGCAACTTCTCCAACGATCACTGGGAAACAGCACTGAATACTGTCAGGATCACATTGTTAAGTAGAAGCAGTACATGAAGATCCACTTGTATCAGAGAGATGCACTTACTTGTAATCATTCCTGCCCACCATAATGGTTCATACAAATAAGAGTACCCACCAACCCCTGCCATACACAGCAAATTTGTGGGTAACAGTCAGCGAGAATAAACTGTTTTGGGCTTATAAACAGAATCATCTAGTTGAACATAATTAAATAGCTTAAGAACTAAAATCTTCGGAATCATTGCTCGGGCCAATTTTGGTAATTGCTCTGCACATACTTGAAGCCAAGAACAGCTCTCAAAAATCAAAATGACAGAATGCTAACTTTTACCGTATTTGGAAGAATTAACTAGCAAGGTCATTCTCCACTAAATTGAACTAGTACATAAAAAAATTAATGTACTCGATTGGCTGAACAATGAGATGAGAACCAGACTACAGTGCAACCGTGTAAAGCACAATGCAGAATAAAAGCAATACCGACATTGTTACGGCACCGTTGGCTACAAACTCCAGCATATGTGAACTCCCAACATCTAAATCGGCGTCAACATTATCAGCCTAAACTCTGACGCACTCACCCTATCCCTAACCCCATTACATGTCCACTGTTCCAACATGGATTTCAGCTGGAATGGGGATCTAAGCATAATCAGGCACCAGCGTCTGTCAGCTCAGATCAGAGCACCAACCAGGGCAAACAAATAACACACTTAGGAGATCGACAGGCAAGGCAATGATGTCTCGATGGTAAGCAGCGCAATTAGGTCACCTGCGCGGACGCCGGACGCGCCGGCCTTCCTGAGCCCCTTCTTCTTGACGATGAAGCTGGTGCCGATGAAGACGCTGGAGGAGAGCGCGAGCACCAGCCCCTTGATGTTGTCCGTGGACATCCCCGTGTAGGACTCCACCCAGCTGCCGCCGCCCGAGCCGGCGGCCGCCGAAGTGGACGTTTCCGCCGCCATGCCTCCCGCGGGCGCAGGAATTCCCGAGAAACCCTCCCTCCGTCCCGTGTGCCCCGCCGCTAGATCGCGCCGTGCGAGATCCCGATGCGGCGAGCGGTGGGAGGCGTCGGGCGCGGGGGGTTCGGCTCACCGCTCCGGCCAGGTCACGACTGCCTCGCGCAGACGCTCCGCATTCGCGGTGTTTTCGGCTGTGGGGGGAGAGGAGAGCGGATCGGACGCAGACAACGGCGACGGCGACGGCGACGCCGGCGAGGAGGTAACGGGTGAAGGGGAAGGTTGCGCGAGTCCACGCCGCGCGGATATGTTCGGGTGTAGACTGGCTAGTGCCTAGTTGGCGAGCCGGTCTTGCTTAGCATCGAGGCAAGCGGCATCGGCTTGTGACCAAGATTTGCTTGCCAATGAATTTCAAAAAAAAAAAAAAGAATTGCTTGCCAATGCATTTCAAAGAAAAAAAAAGATTTGCTTGCCAATGCTACTTTTTTTTAGCATCAGTACAGACACAAGCACTCATATACACGCGCATACACTCACTCCTATGAACGCACACACGCACACCCTACCCCTATGAGCACCTCGACTGAGCCGGCACATCATCTTGAGATTTACGAAGTCACCGTAGGCACCTTGTCATCGACGGGAACGTCTCCTCCCACTAAAAGCGCATCGCCGGAAATCCTGAAATAAATCCAAAAATAATGCAAGCACCAAGATTTGAACCCTGGTGGGTTGGGGATACCACTGTCCACCTAACCATCTCAACCACAGGTTGATTTGCGCTTACCAATGATACTTGCAGTTTCTTTACTTACTTACTTACTTACGAAGCCTTTGATCCCAAACAAGTTGGGGTAGGTTAGATATGAAACCCTTTCACGAGGACTTCCCAGGAGGTCACCCATCCTAGTACTACTCTCGCCCAAATGGGTTTCATACCCAAAAGACTGGCTAGTTATTAAATTGGCTCGCCAAGCCTATCACAACCCTTAGATATGAAACTCTTTCACAAGGACTTCCCAGGAGGTCACCCATCCTAGTACTACTCTCGCTCAAATCGGTTTCATACCTATGGGACTGGCTAGTTTTTACGTTGGCTCGCCAAGCCTATCACAACCCTCCTCCTTTACCCGAGCTTGGGACTGGCTATGCCTAGAAGACATAGGCGGAGTTACTTGCAGTTTCTTTCCTAGTAATAATATTTAGGCAGGAAATGATAGTTTGTGTAATGAAGTTTATGGAGGGATTAGACGTGGAGAATAGATTTTTACTCTCATTTCTTTTCTTGGTATACGAAGAAAACTATTCCCTCTGTTTCAAAATAGATGACTCAATTTTATACTAACTTTAGTCATGGAAGTAATACGGAATAAAAGTCTATTTTAAAACGGAGAGAGTAATACGGAATAAAAATCTGATCACATGAGAAGAAAATGATGGAAGTTGGCTTCTGAATCTCTTGTCCCCCTTTCGATTTAAACTCCCGATCCCTTTAACCAATCAATGTACTTTTAATCTCGTCGTCCTTCAATTTGCAGTTCTCGTCTTTAATTCCCACGAACCAAGCAAGGTGTAGAGCACTTTGATTTATAATTTAAAAATATAGATTTGGCGGCTTTGGTGGATAGCTTCAACAAATGATCGAGCAAACGATACGACTCTAGTGTGGGCGACAAAACCAAGCTTTAGTCCAGTCCCAGAAACCAAGACTGGAATTCGAGCTGCACTGGCGACCATTGCTGGCGAGATACCGGGCCCGATCTCCACACTTGATTCCAGTACTATGTCCTCGCCATTGGCTATGAGTTAGCAGAGTGGCCTCGGAGTGTTGTGATGTTCTTTTCTTGTTAGAGTCCAAAAGGCTCTGCTCGATGTTTCCTTCTTTCCGGTTACAGCTGGCCCATGCGTTGTGAACTCATGTGGTACTTGGGTTTTGGGTTCCTTTTCAATGAACTAGAACAATGCCCATGCGTTGCAACGGGGTATAAATATTCTGGTACGTTAGCTTGTGATTTATCTGTCAATAATAATGCGATTGTGTAAGTAATTGCTCATCAAATGATAGTGAATTACCTTATATTTTGATTAGAAGTTTCGTAAGTAAAGTAAGTGAAATTGGTTCAAAAGATAAGGAAATTAAGGTGATTGATTATCATATATATGGAAGTTGGACGAAGGGGTGGTGGGAAGAAAAGTGAAATGGGAACCTTACGTTCTTTTTAAGTACTAATAAAAATAAATAATCTTTACCTAATAATAAAGCAAATTGAGTTTCTTTCGTCCGTCATGGCATTTTTCAAAAAAGTCCCTCTATTTCAGAGAATTCAACCCGCAGTCCTGTTTTAAGTTAAAACGAATCATTATTTTCGTATTTTACACAAAAGTCCCTACCTTTTCTTGAAATCAACCCGCCGTCCGGATTTAAGTCACACCCGAACCGTTATTTTATATTTTTCGAAAAAACCATGATGTTTTAGGTAATTCATCCGCGGATCATATTTAAGTCAAACAAATGCTTTTTAAAATCATCCATATCTTTTAAACCGTAACTCCGATTTCAACATGTTATATATGAAATTTGATTAGAAAAATATGTAGAACATGAATATGAGATTATTTTTACCTGTTAAGTATTTTTAAATATTATTTTGGAATATATTTGAGTCAAACCAAAGGATTTTCTAAATTATCTGTATCTTTTAAACCGTAACTTCGATTTTAACATATAATATATGAAATTTTATTAGAAAAATGTGTGGAATTTAAATATGATGTTAATTTTACCGGTTAAATATTTTTAAAATATTGTTATGGAAGCAAACTTATAATTTATAGCGCAAGATTTGTTTTTTTTCATACCGGTGGCGATCCGGATTGCAAATAAACACCTGACTATAACCATATACGGAAAAGAAAATATCGATAACTACACATGCATACCTCTGAAAAATGTCGCAGGGGAAAACAACAGATTTCTGATCGCGGGAGTGAGAGAAAGCGAGCGAGAGAGAGAGAGAAAGGGAGGGAGAGAGAGAGGGAGAGGGAAGAGAGAGGGAGAGAGAGACGCCTTAGGATTAACCATATTCAACACACGTTTTTTGTTGTTTTGTGTGGACCTATTGTGGTCTTGAGTGATGGTTGTTGAGTTAAGAGTGTGTGTTATGTTTTCTCTCCCGTTGCAACACACGGGCGAGCGAGCGAGCGAGAGAGAGAGAGAGAGAGAGAGAGAGAGGAGAGAGAGGGAGAGAGAGACGCATTAGGATTAACCATATTCAACAAACGTCTTTTGTTGTTTTGTGTGAACATCGATCCCATCGTCGGCGAGGGTGAGAAGGAGGATAAGCGGCAACACAAATATGATGCCTCGCAAAAATAAAAGGAGATGGACCTATTGTGATCTTGAGTGATTGTTGTTGAGTTAAGACCGTGTGTTATGTTTTCTCTCCCCTTGTAACGCACGAGCTCTTTTGCTCGTAAATATAATATATACATGGAAGGTTGGACGAGGGGGTGGTGGGAAGAAAAGTGAAATAAAACATTACGTTCTTTTTAAGTAGTATAATCTCTACTACCTAAAAGAAACATAATGTTCCGTCTCCCCTCTTACGTCAATCCTTTCGTTGATCCCACCTCCACCAATGCTACCGCTCTGTAACATCCACAATGCGGCTATATCTCCCACGTGTCGAAGCACGACTTAGAGGCATAGCCATATGGTAGTTTTGTTGCAAGAGGGGTAATCTTCACACGATCCCATGTACTGAATAAGAAAGGGATAAAGAGTTGTCTTACAATCACCACTTCACACAAATACAAGTTAAACATACATCATCCAGAGTACAATCAAGGTCCGACTACGGAACCAAAAATAAAGGAAGACAATCCCAAATGCTAGATCCCCGATCGTCCCAACTGGGCTCCACTACTGATCAACCGGAAAAGACACATAACAATGATCAAGATCTTCATCGAGCTCCCACTTGAGCTCGGTTGCATCACCTGCACTGGTATCATCGGCACCTGCAACTATTTGGAAGTATCTATGAGTCACAGGGACTCAGCAATCTCACACCCGCAAGATCAAGACTATTTAAGTTTTTGGGTAGGGTAAGGTAATGAGGTGGAGCCGCAGCAAGCACTAAGCATATATGTTGGCTAACATACGCAAATAAGAGCGAGAAGAGAAGCAATGCAACAGTCGAGAAGCTAGAAGTGATCAAGAAGTGATCCTGAAACTACTTACGTTCAAGCATAACACAAGACCGTGTTCACTTCCCGGACTCCGCCGAAAAGAGACCATCACGGCTACACACACGGTCGATGTATTTTAATTAAGTCAAGTGTCAAGTTCTCTACAACCGGATATTAACAAATTCCCATATGCCACATAACCGTGGGCACGACTTTCGAAAGTTTAAACCCTGCAGGGGTGTCCCAACTTAGCCCATCACAAGCTCTCACGGTCAACGAAGGATATTCCTTCTCCCGGGAAGACCCGATCAGTCTCGGAATCCCGGTTACAAGACATTTCGACAATGCTAAAACAAGACCAGCAATACCGCCCGATGTGCTGACAATCCCGATAGGAACTGCACATATCTCGTTCTCAGGGCAACACCGGATGACCACTCTGTACAACTAAAACCAGCCCTCAAGTTTCCCCGAGGTGGCCCTGCAAAGGACTCTAGTTCGGACCAACACTTAGAGAAGCACTGGCCTAGGGGGTTAAAATAAAGATGACCTTCGAGAGCGTGACTCCCAAGGGAAAAGTATAGGTGGTGGTCAGGCAAATGGTAAAACCAAGGTTGGGCCTTGCTGGAGAAGTTTTATTCAAAGCAAACTGTCAAGGGGTTCCCATAACACCCAACCGCGTAAGGAATGCAAAATCAAGGAACATAACACCGGTATGGCGGAAACTAGGGCGGCAAGAGTGGAACAAAACACCAGGCATAAGGCCGAGCCTTCGACCCTTTACCAAGTATATAGATACATTAATTAACAATAAT